CTATGGCTTTGCTTTTGATAGTTTTTTGAGTTATTGGCTACTATGGAGTCTTGTTCGAGTTTACAAAGAAATGAGACAATTGATTTGCATCTTAGCCAGATGGATCATCTAATACATTCTAATATTGATTGAGACGTTTGGTTCGGGGGTTTGATCACGAGTATTATTTTGCTCTTGCAAATCTAAATTATATGTATGAGGCCACAAATGAATAAAAATTATAGCAAGTGTGACAGTAGATGGTCTTACCCAGTGTTTTAAAAACCGATCCAGCTACTGAACAGACCATTTACCAAGTCACTAGGTCTTTGGACCGATTGCGGGTGAACCGCATATTATTAAATAAATTAATTTTATTATATAAAAATATATTTTCTATTAAAATAAAAATATAGGAACTATTTAAATAGTTTGTAACAAGTTAAAGAATTATGACATCTAAAAAATCAAGACATAAAATCCATAAATGTTTATGTCTGATATGAATAATAAATTAAACTTCAAATCCAAAATAAACCAAAATAAAAAATCGACAAAAACGTGCAGAGGAAGCAAAGAACAGAGGAAGCAAAGAACGCGCCTCCCGCATGAGAGCTTGAGAGCAGGGATTAAGTAAGCACTTTGACTAGTGTTTTTGATTTTGAGTCTTGAACTCCTAATACAGGGATTAAGTAAAAAGCACAGTGACTTCGATCGTTTGAAAGGGCTCTTTGACTCTCTGTTTCCTCTTGCTGTTGTAGTCTTACTAACTCCCTGTTTTTCTTTTCTTTATTGGTTATAACAGGTGAAAGGAGACTATAAAACAAAGGAATCAATCAATTGTGTCTGTTACAAAAGGTTTTTAAAACTTATGGAGATGTTTGTTCCGAGACTTAACTGTTGTGTTTTGCTACATGGATTTTTCAAATAATTTAATACTCAAATATTTTTTATCTAAAGTATCTCTATAATATTATTTGAGAAGTCAGTTTCCTACGTGTCGCTCTCACGTTAACTCTCGCGATGGTTGATTACTTAGATACCCTTAATGAATTTTAGATTTTAAGATTATTATTTTTATTTTGTTTCCTTTTTAACTTTTTCCAAATAACATATATAATAAAAAGAAAATATTTCTATTTTTTAAAAAAAAAATTAAAACGAATATATATGTATAAATTATAACTTTGAAAAAAAGGAAAGTTCACAAAATAGTAATACCCCCATTAATATATATTTTAAATAACATAAAATATATTTTAAAAATAACAAAAATATATATATTCATGAACATCCAAAAATTTATCAGTTAAACTTTATTTTCTAATTTTTTTTTAGAAATCAACATATAATTTGTTAAATATTATGAAAATACATGTTTATTTAAGCGATAAATAAAACTAATTTGATTTGATTTAACTAAAATAAAGAGAAAATAAATATTATGATAAATACATGTATATTTAAGCAATAAATAAAACTAACTTGATTTGACTTAACTAAAATAAAAAGTAATAATACTCCAAATTTTAATTTAAAAACTATGTTTAACTCAATATACTCACAAAATGAATGACTCGACTAATCTAATTTATATCCAAAATTAGACATCTAACTACAATAAGAACATATAATTTTATAATAATAATATAATAATTTATTTAATTTTATACATATAAATTAGAGGTTGACTTAAAGCATATTAAAAAGAAAAAGAAATATTAACCCATTACAATTTAATTATTTTTAGCATTTATATATATGCATGAGATTTCAAAATATTATCATTATATTCATTTATGTAATTTTGAATCAAACACTGCAGCTTATTATTTATTTCATCTTAAGCACAATATATATTAAGTTATACATAATTTAACTATAATATTTTTACATATCTAAGAATATATTTACATATCTTTTTGGTCAAAAAATATATTTACATCTAAATACAATAACCAACCGAAATGAAAATAAGAAAATTAATCAAAGTTTTATTATATTTAGAATAAAAAATATTATAGCTGAATTCGAAAAATAGATATTATCAAATATACTGAATTGATAACCAAACCGACTATTGATCCAAAAAATAATTAAACCGACAATAATATATCCAAAGTCGTATGTATAATTAGAATAATATAATATTNTTTTATTATATTTAGAATAAAAAATATTATAGCTGAATTCGAAAAATAGATATTATCAAATATACTGAATTGATAACCAAACCGACTATTGATCCAAAAAATAATTAAACCGACAATAATATATCCAAAGTCGTATGTATAATTAGAATAATATAATATTTATTAATATAAATTATACATATAAATTGATTCAAAACTAAAACTAAATATCAATCAATTTTTATAAAATTTTACTTTTATGAATATTCATATCCGTGCATGAGCACGGGAAAATCACCTAGTTTTACATTATTCAAATTATCATAAAGACACAAAATACTTGAATAGTTTTAACTAAAATATTAAATTTTATTTTCGTAACTGGATATTTATCCCGGTTAATCTAAAATTAACCCTAGAAATCGTAACCAAACCGTTATCATATTGGAACCAAAAATTTATCTGATATTAGGCGGTTATTATAATTGTTACCAAACCCAGCTCAAGCCAAAAGAATCGAACCGGACACAAATCAATTTATATAAATAACTGAACATATCTTATATCTATAGAACTAAAAAAACTACGAACATAAGGAATTCGACAAAAGTTGAACCCAAAATCAAACCCCAGTCCTATTACATTCAATACGATCACAGTTTCTAAAATACGGTAATAACCGATGACTTATGAGTATATTATGCTTTCCTAAATTAAGTTAAACCCGTGCCGGTGCACGGGTCAAGATCTAGTAGTTAAATTATTTGTGATCAATGCAACTTTTGAAAGTTTAAATTGTGTTTTAATTTAAAACCAAATTATAATACAGTCACCATTTATATATTGTCTTATCAAATTTCCCAACAAATATACGACTTGCCATGGAACAAAGCATGCAATGATGGATCATTACGATAAAAAGAAGATAACATAAATAAACCAAAGAAAAGAAGAATGAAAAAGTAAGAAATGGCCATGTTATAAATACATCATGACCATTGTTTGCCAATTTCAACAAAGTTGGCCCTCCAAATTTGATAATTCAATGTTTCTTTTCTTATGTAGTTATTTATATATATGCACTATAACATAAACCGCAACACCACACTCCCTTCTTGCACCCTAAAGACATCAAGAATAAAGAAAATCCAAATATACAATCGAAATTCTCTTATTTTCACCTTTTAATTTGATTGTGTTCTTGAAGGGTTGCTACACGTAATGGATGAAAGGAAGATTAAACTTCACATTTTATTACTCTCTTTCTTACTCATCTCCTTAGTTCCTTCGATTCTCGGATTCAAAATGAGAGGCACTACTAGATCTGAGCTGGGAGCACTGCACGGAGGAGAGTACTTCCCGGCGATGAAGAGCAGGAAGCTGATGGTTACAGTTTTGGAAGTTGATTATTCAGGTGATTATGATGATGGAGCCTCTTCAGCATCACCATCACCACCAGTGCCTGATTATGATGATGACATCTATAAAAGGCAAGGTGATGTCCCAAGCCCCGGTATTGGCCATAGATGATACTTTTTCGTGTGTAGTCTCTACACATACACATTTCAGCATTTTGCGTTATATATATACCCATACATGTTGTTTAGTTGTTCTTCATATTGTTTTTGTCCTACGAGGTCGTCTTCTCATATACACATTTTATGTTGCTCTTTTTTTTCATTTTGGTATATATATAAATTTTAATTATGTTTTTTTTTGTAATATAAATATAAATGTGACCTCTATATTGAATTGCCTCGTTTCCCTGTGTTGATGGGAGCTTTTGGTATGTATGTAAATAATACTCTTTAGATAAACCTGCAATTGTTCTTTGTAAAATATTTTCGGTTATGAAGAAGTTATGTTAATATAAAAATAGTTTCTTCTCTGTATCTTTCTTAAGTCTTTTACAATCTATTATATTAAAAGAGAAGTCATGACTCATTTCATGTATGATTTTTTAGTTTGGATCATTCTTAGAAATTTTATAAAAGTTTATATAACATCATTATAATATCTTTTCATATCTTTAGTTTTTATTTGAAATACAATTAAATAGTTTAAAGAAAATTCTAACAAAATCTTTTAAAAAATCTTTTAGAATCTTTTCAAGATATAGTTTTAAAAAATATTTGATTAAAATTTTGATTATCATAAAATCTCTATAATATTATTTGAG